CATGGAGACATCCCTCAGAAGCAGAGAGAGATCACGCTCAAGGGCTTCAGGAGCGGCACGTTCGAGGTGCTGGTGGCCACTAACGTAGCGGCCCGCGGCCTGGACATCCCCGAGGTGGACCTGGTCATTCAGTGCTCTCCTCCAAACGTGCGTCAGTCCCACCGCTGCTGTCCTCTTTTACTTCAATCACACTGGGTTTTATGTTGATTTCCTACACTCCCTAATTCAGTTCTACTTATTCTGTTTCCTACATTTGGTAGGTTCTTTTAAATGTTTCTTTCATCTGTATTTTAGCGCATGTTTATCCTATTCCTTGATGAGTCCCTGCTGATAGGATCTCTGTAGTTTAAGATGCTCTGTAACAGCTTAAGCTTGTGTTGTGAGTGCAGGATGTGGAATCATATATCCACCGGTCTGGACGGACCGGCAGAGCTGGAAGAACGGGCATCTGCATCTGTTTTTACCAGCGCAAGGAGGAGAGCCAGCTCAAGTTTGTGGAGCAGAAAGCGGTGAGACGTTAGAGGAGTGAATATGGGTTAACCAACAAATGACAGATAAACCGTGTGATCAGATCTGACCGACAAGATATTTGTCTGAATTTTAAAAACAATTCAAAAAGCTTTATTTTTCTTTTTTATTATTATTATTGTATTATTACAAATTTGTGACCCTGGAGCACAAAACCACCAAGTCATAAGGGTCAATTTTTTGAAATTGAGATTTATGCATCATCTGAAAGCTGAATAAATCATCTTTCCATTGACGTATGGTTTGTTAGGACTGGACTATTTGAAAATCTGGAATCTGAGGGTGCAAAAAAATCTAAATATTGAGAAAATCAATTTTAAAGTTGTCCAAATGAAGTTCTTAGCCATGCATATTACTAATCAAAAATTAAGTTTTGATATATTTACGGTAGGACATCTACAAAATATCTTCATGGAACATGATCTTTACTTAATATCCTAATGATTTTTGGCATAAAAGAAAAATCTATAATTTTGACCCATACAATGTATTGTTGGCTATTGCTACAAATATACCCGTGCTCCAGGGTCACATTTTAATATGACAGAATTGAGGTAAATCGTGACACTTTTATTGGACCGAGATGTCCCAGTTGTCCTGAATCAAGCCCGAATAATGTCTTGGCTGTAAATGAACCACAATGTCATCAGCTGAGCAAATGATGGCTGGTTAATAGCCGCCTGCGTCGCTAATGTGTCTCGTGTTCGCCTGCTGCAGGGAATCACCTTCAAACGGGTCGGGGTCCCGACGGCCAACGACATCATCCAGTCCTCCAGTAAAGACGCCGTGAGGTCCGAGACGCTCAGATTAATCATCACGCTGATGTGCATGCAGAGATTAATGTTTTATTTACCGTGAATGTGATGTACGCCGCTGCTGCAGGTTTCTGGACTCGGTCCCGGCCGTGGCGGTGGGGTATTTCCGCGAGGCGGCGCGTGAACTGATCGAGCAGCGCGGGGCGGAGGAGGCGCTGGCGGCGGCCCTCGCTCACATATCAGGAGCCACAAGCCTGGAGCAGAGGTCCCTCATCAGCTCCGACGCCGTACGTCTTCACATCACACCACAGCACAACTGTCTTTCTTCAGTTAATGCAGAGTTATTGAATCGGTGTGAAACTCCGCAGACGTTTATGAAGCATGTCTCGTTCTCTCAGGGGTTCTCCACCATGATACTGAACTGCTCTCAAGAAATGCACAACATCGGTTTCGCCTGGCGCGGCCTGAAGGAGCAGCTCGGGGAGGGAATCGATGAGCACATCAAACGCATGACCTTCCTCAAGGGCAGGACGGTACGTGTTTACTGAAGCCAAGACGGCATTTAGTGCTCCTCAGTCAGGACGACATACAGTCGCTGGGATGCATTGCCAAAACGTATGATTAAAAACTAATGACCGCAAATATGACAGAAAAATTGCAAAATTAAAGGAACATTTATATATTTGAGTTTGCCTGACTCTCAGTAAATCTAAATTAGGGGTGTGATAGTGCATTTTTCTTAATAGATTTCTCTCTTCTTTTTTTTTTTATTCTGTGGTATGAAAAAGCCCACACTATTCAACATCCAGTTCTCCTATAATAATAATAATAAAACGATAAAACAAAAGCATAAACTGATCAGTAGAAGCATGCACACACACTATGCCGTTACAGTGAATATGCATCGAGATATTGCTTGCAACACTAAGGTTTGAGGTAAACATATGGGCGGTTGTAAAGGTGCATTTAACGTCTCAGAACAGTTATTTTAATCGAAATGAATACTCTGAAATATTAATGTGAAATAAATACACGCACACATTTTGATATATACACACACTAAGGTCAGGACAGGCCTTTATGTGAAGTGGAAATACTCTGCGTTTGAATTTAACATTATTAAACATTTACAGTCAATGTGATTGTATGCTAGGAAAAATACTCACGTGTTGTTCCTACAGTCTCTATATCATATACAAAGACCTCTTGAGCTGCGGATGTCACCGATGAGTTTCTCTGTGCACAGACCTGATGAATAATCTGATGGATTTTGTTGATCATCTATTACCAGTTTTATCAATTCTGTATTATTATTGATTTATTTTCACATATTACTATAACACATTTGCATATATACCCAAATTCCCACTTGAGGCGCAATATTCTGACTGTTTGTTATTTCTAAATCATGGTAAATCACGTTCTTTCACTGCATGATTCAATTTATTAAAATACCTTCATAACGATCACAAATTCAAGACATGGGGGCATTTTTTTCATCCAAAAATTACCATTACACTACTGAGATATTGATTTTTTACGGCCCTTCAATAAAAAAGAATTTAAGAGATTTATGTTTTAGACACCATATTTCCTGGTTCTGCGTCTCTGAGCAACATGACGGTGATTCGTTCCTGAATGAATCAACCGTTTAAATTATTCGGTTCAATCGCAATGACTCACTTATTAACAGTGACTTGCTGCCACCTACTGGTGGTTTTAATTCCACATTTAAAATATATTTTTATTATTTAATTTCAAATAACAGTATTCAACGTTTTATGTTTAATATATCAAAACATTATAAATGCATGTTAAATGCATTCATGTCCTGCATTAAACAGTGAGTAAACGCATCTAAATGCCTCTTCAGATGCAGCTTCTGTGTTTCTTCTGCATTGCAAAGATGAATTTAGTTGATACTGATTTCATAATACACTGATAAAATGTAGTAATTTGACTGAAAAGATGGTGCACACGTTTAGAAAAAATGGCTTTGTAAAGGTAAAAATGCCCATAAAAGGTAAAAATCATTTTAAACTAGGAGTGTAACGATACACGTGTTCCTATTGAACCGTTCAGTACGAGGCTTTCGGTTCGGTACGCATTACAAACCGAACGATTCGTTTGAGTAATCCTATTACATTTGGAAAATAAAAGAGCTTAAAGTGTGTGAAATATAATGTACTCCAGGTTGTGACGGTGAGGTAGTTCGTTATAGTTTTCTTTTATTCGCTTTTAAATGGCTTGTAAATGCCTGTTCGAATTAGCGTCAATTCGTCGTCAATTGATTAAATGGACAACAACAAGACAGTATGACAAACTCACATTAAACACAGAATGTTTAATTTATTAACAAAACGAGTACAAATACACCATGCTATAGGCCTAATATAAAATAACAAATAACTTAAACACTGAAAATCAGCAAACGCGGTGGAACCAAATAAATAAGAAACAAATGTTAAAAAAGCTTCCAAAATCATCTTTGATAAACGGCAAAGGTCAAAAGGCCTTCCAAAGTCTAACATATTTTTAAGATCATATTTTATGATGTTAGTTTTAATAGAAAAAATAAATAAATAAATCAAGGAAATTTCTCTGGCATTTCCTTGTTTTTGCTGTATCAGTGACACCGCTGTGTCGTATCGAACCGAACCGTGAATTTTGTGAACCGTTACACCCCTATTTTAAACTTATTGGGAAAGATTAATTTCTATCACTGCTGTGAACTGACCACCACACAGAATATGAAAAATATCAAAAACTTTGAGTCAGCTGTCCACGGCAGTCCTTAAGATGCCAGCACATTAACACACTCCGCAAAATATCGTCTAATTATCGTCATCGATAAAATCCCAGAAGATATTATTTTTTGTCAATAATGGCACGCCCCTAAGTGAGACTGAGGATCTGCATCTCTGTTTGTTTTTGAGAGTTCAGGGCTTGATTTCTAACGGCTCCTGTGTGTGTGTTTCTCTCAGGGTGTGTGTTTCGACGTCCCAGCCAGCAAAGTGAAAGAGATGCAGGTATGACGAAGCGCTTGTAAAGCCACGCTGGAGGGACGTGTCTGTACACACTTCTTTCCCATGTGTTTGAGAGTCGCTGTGCGCTCTCGGGTTTCACTAGCGGAGGCTTGTGTTTCTGTGTCTCTGCAGGACAGCTGGCAGGACGGCGGGCGCTGGCAGCTGAGCGTGGCCACAGAGCTCCCCGAGATGGAGCAGAGCATGCGGCAGAGCAGCGAGCGGTCCTCCGGAGGCTTCGGGGGACGAGGACGCCGCTCCTTTGGCTTCAGAGGCAACAACGGCTCCGGCGGCAGAAGAGCACGAGGAGGAGGCGCTGCTCAGAAACGCAGCTTCAGCCAGGCCTTCGATTACTGATCTGGACTCTCTGTCATGCTTTTACTGCCCTCTCGCTCTTTACTCGAGCCATCAAATACGCTGACTGCTTTTACTTGCAGTTGTGCTATTTATACAGTCTGTCCCGCTGATATTAAAGTGGTGTTTAAACTACACCGCGGCTGCGTTTCATTGCTTGTAAAACTCACTGGCTCTTCAGACGTGGGCTGGAATGACATTATCTTGAACGAAATCACATTGTGTGGTAATATGATTAAAATCTCCCGACTGTCTCGAGCGCGTCTTACAGTCTCTGAAAAGAGAAAAGCCTGTGATTATTAGTCAGGGGTGTCCAACACGTCTCATCCAGCTAATCGAGGTCTTGCATTTGGAGTTAAACTCTGCCGAAGCAGGATCGGACAGCGAGCTGAAATGTTCCTAACATTTCTACAACACGTTCACTGCCGTACTTGAATAGTCACCTGATTCAATACGCACAGGAATGACGTTCATCGATGTCCTGCACGCTCGTTTGGGAATGAAGGCCACACATGGTTTAATCCAAAGCATAAACTCAAGATTTATTGAAAGATTTGGCATACAAATAAAAATAGCTGATGTCTTCTTTAGTGACCAAGAAACTGTCATTTTGCATAATTTATCATAATTTATTACAACTCAAAATCATTCAGGCACAGTTTCACTGTCCAGTCATTAACATGTCCATTGATGACTATGGTTTTTCTTCAGTTGCACTGCAAAAAACACAAATCCAAATGCAGTAGTGTGAAGCTGCTGGTTCAGTCGTATTGACCGGATGAGGTGTTACAGTCGGTCTGGAAGGAGTAACCGGAAAACTCCACCGTCTCGCCTGAAATCAGAGGAGTTCACCGATCTTAATAGCTAATAAGGACACACAATTCTTAAAAGTGATCAAATGGTTAGGTGGAAGACTGTGTTGGAGTATAGTTTTGTTCTCCAGTGTTTACTGGGGATAGCTGTAGGATGCGGAGATGTTTTCTTACACCGGCATCCCATCCACACGGGGTTTGTCCTCCAGCCCCTGTCGCTCTCGCACGAGGGACTCCAGTGCTCCAGGTTCTTCAGGTGATCCACGATCTGCAGAACGAACGCACACCGTCTTAGATCCAACACTCAAGGAACTAACTAGAAAAGAGCAGTTCAAAACAAACCTCGGTGTTGGCTTGACAAAGCATTAGCTGGAGCTGAAATGAGTTCATGAAGGCCACGTCTTGTGGCATTGTCAAAGGGATCGTTCACCCAAAAATAACAATTCTGCTAAAGCAATAAGCCCAGAGAAGCCGTGGTTTACAGTGAATTTATAACCGCTAAGGGGCGTTGTTAGGTATGACGCGAAGCGGAGTTAGCTGTTATAAATTCACTGTAGACCACGGCTTCACGGGGCTTATTGCTTTTATAAAGCGGTTATTCCATATACGTAGTACGGTTTCACCGAATAAAACCGAGCAAATAAAGTGTAATGATATTAATAAAAACAGTATTCTTCCACCAAACAATGTAGTTCCTCAGAAACAGTTGTGGTTGCAACAAAGTGGTTGCCGAGCAACACACAAACGTAAACAAAGGTGTATGTTTGTAGAGTAATTTACAACAGCTTCGAACGCGGCTCAGCCAATCAGAATCAAGCACCGGAACTCTCCGTTTTATAAACTTAATTAGTACGCGGGTAAATATTTCCTCTGAAAACCGTCGTGAGCTTCTTGGGGCTTATTGCTTTTATAAAACGGTTATTCCATATACGTAGTAAGGTTTCACAGAATAAAACAGAGCAAATAAAGTGTAGTGATATTAATAAAAACAGTATTCTTCCACCAAACAATGTAGTTCCTCAGAAACAGTTGTGGTTGCAACAAAGTGGTTGCCGAGCAACACACAAACGTAAACAAAGGTGTATGTTTGTAGAGTAATTTACAACAGCTTCGAACGCGGCTCAGCCAATCAGAATCAAGCACCGGAACTATCCGTTTTATAATATTATTTAGATGTTTTGAAGAATGCTGGTAACCGTTGTTGGTCCCCATTGACTTCCATAGCGTGAATAAATGACCATTTTCATTTTTGGGTGAACGATCCATTTAAAGTGTTTTTTGGAGTGGTTGACATACAAATGCATTTTTTTTTTCTTTTTTTTCAAAAACCCAAGTAAACAGACTGAGGTAACCCAAACGAAAAAAAAAAATGCTATAGTAATTTATAATAAATACTATAGTGTTTTTGAACCATACTATAGTAAGGTACTTGAATTAATTTGTTGAGATAATTCTATAGTTGCAATGTAGTTCCTCAGAAACAGTTGTGGTTGCAACAAAGTGGTTGCCGAGCAACACACAAACGTAAACAAAGGTGTATGTTTGTAGAGTAATTTACAACAGCTTCGAACGCGGCTCAGCCAATCAGAATCAAGCACCGGAACTATCCGTTTTATAATATTATTTAGATGTTTTGAAGAATGCTGGTAACCGTTGTTGGTCCCCATTGACTTCCATAGCGTGAATAAATGACCATTTTCATTTTTGGGTGAACGATCCATTTAAAGTGTTTTTTGGAGTGGTTGACATACAAATGCATTTTTTTTTTCTTTTTTTTCAAAAACCCAAGTAAACAGACTGAGGTAACCCAAACGAAAAAAAAAAATGCTATAGTAATTTATAATAAATACTATAGTGTTTTTGAACCATACTATAGTAAAGTACTTGAACTAATTTGTTGTAGTAATTATATAGTTGCTGTAATTCTATAGTTGCTGTGGTAATATAAACAAATTACTTTACCCAATACTGTACCAATAAGTTTTCTACAACTATAGAGTATATTATACTAAAGTATACTACAGTATTTATTACAGTTTATCAGTTCACTATAGTAAATTCTACAGTATGCTGTAGCATTCATTAACAAAGTGTTGTAAATACTATAATATATACAGTATAATACACTTCTCTATAGTATGGTATGGTTAAAAAAACACTCTAGTATTTACTATAAATTACTATAGTATTAAGTTTCAGGGTAAGTTGCCTTTGCAACTATTTAATGAACATAACCTGCTCCAGAGCCATTCTAGTGTCCTGTGGAACCGCTCACGATCGCCTGAAAATATCTTGATAAATGGAGTAATCTGAGACAGCACAGCGTTATTGCTGAGACTTTGTGCATCAGATGCTCCAGCGTTCGTGTTCAACAGACAGCAAGGCCGCTGCAGATGCTTTTATTAGGTTTTCCCGCTTCATGCAAGTGAGCCGTGTTTACTCGCTGGCGTCCCGAGATCTCTCTCGCTCGAGTCGACTCCTAACCTGTGTTTGGATGAGAACAGCCAGCATGTCCAGCAGAGATCTTACCTTCAGCACAGCTTCGGTTTGCTCGTGCTCGTCTGTCTTGTTCAGCTGCAGTCCTGCGGAGGCCATTCATTAGTCACTTTACACCTCCGCTAGTCTTAAGACGAGTGCAGTTACCCTGTGAGAAGGTGATGTCTGGTCTCTGCTGCTCGACACATTTATCTTCACTGCCTCGGTCATCGGAGAGCTTCCAGAAGGCCTCTGCATCCATACGGGAAAGATACCACATCTCCATTACAGTGGGGAAGCTAGTTAGTGTTTTAGGTTGTCACCTGTCATTGGTTCACACCTGTAAATCTCTCCAGTGGCGTGTTTCTTTGTGTTTGCGGAGGTGTCGCTGCTTCACTGTCGCTCTCCAAACACCTCAAAGCTAAAGAGAAACATCATCACAAACTCAAGACTTCTCATGCATTAACGAGAATAACCTAAATCACATTTAGGAACTCAATATACACAGATGCACTATGTGTGAAATCTAGAAGTATTCGATAATATCCCAAAAGGTTTATATGTGCAGATACCTTTGCGTCTCTTGACTGTTTTGCTGTGTGGAAGGAGAGTATAAACTCTGAAAGCGTTGTGGCCTTTCTTGATGCTCTTGTCCTGGAGCTCGTGGACGTCCGTCAGGGAGTTGAGTGCACATCTGAAGTTTGCTTTCCACGTCTTGGGATCGGGTTTGTCTGTGCCGGGTTTGTATCGGCCTGAAATCCACGAGAGGAGAGGAGGCTACTGCACCAGTCTTCAGTTTGGTCAAATCACAAGTCGTATAACTGCAGTATTAAACGAGCTGTTCTGGTGATTTCTAAAGATTTGGGCAAAATCTCAGTGTTGGCAGTCACAGACATTGTAAAAATGTCATTGCATTATATATTAAGATATCAAAACAAGCCACGTTTATTTTAAATAAATATAGCACACTTTTCAGACAAAGTGTCAGCTTTTCAAAAGAAGACAAAACATCTTCAGCTCTTTCTGTTTGTCAAACTCTGGAATGTGTTGAAAGTTTTTGTGATTCTCGTCACCTCAAGATCACTCAGTCAAAAATAAATCTTTTGGAAAAGCATCATCTAACTGCCAAGGGGTTTGATATTATGTATCGAATGAAAAGACATTCAGACATTTTTAAGTGACTTAAAAGGAGTCCATCAATTTTTTTGAGCCAGACTCAAAACGTGAAGCGAAACTTGACACTAATGTGCATTCACTTAATGAAAATACAGATTTGGACACTCATAGATCGTGGCACCATTTAATAACTACTGAACAACACGTATGTTAATATATAGCATATTCATATATTTGTTAACTGTAATCAAAGTCTTCACAATGTTTACATATTTGTTTATACGGCATGCATTACTAAGGACTTCATTTGGACAACTTTAAAGATGATTTTCTCAATATTTAGATTTTTTTGCACCCTCAGATTCCAGATTTTCAAATATTGTCCTATCCTAACAAACCATACATCAATGGAAAGCTAATTTATTCAGCGTTCAGATTATGCATAAATCTCAGTTTCACAAAATTGACTTTTATGACTGGTTTTGTGCTCCAGGGTCACATATATAGAGAGACTGACATATATCTAGATATGTATAGCAGTTCAAAGTAAATTCAACATCTGTTTAACGCTTCACTGGGCAAGTCTGGAAAGTTAAAATACTTAATGAGGCAGGTTCCAAGCACACAGCAGCAGTCTGAAGCCTGGTTTCTCCCAAGGTTTTTTCTCCATTCTGTCACCGATGGAGTTTCGGTTCCTCTGGCTTGCTTAGTCGGGCACACTTCATTTCCAGCGATATCGTTGACTTGATTGCACAGACACTATTTAAACTGAACTGAGCTGGATGATGACTATTGACACACTATTTGATGCTGTAAAGCTGCTCCGACACGATCTGTATTGTCAAAAGCGCTATATAAATAAAGGTGACTTGAAGCAGCTCTATTAAGCACAGATCTCACCTGGTCCAGCCACATGACTCCAGGGTGTCTGCCGGAATCGATCTGCTCCTCCAGCCACGGCCGCAGCCGCAGGCGTCCCTGATGCATCTCTGCTCAGTGTGCTTCTCACTCCAGACTCCTCCAGCAGTTTGTCTGGCAGTCTTAAATCAGTGACACGCACTCATTACAGGAGGAAGCATCACAGCTCAGTCTGTCAAAGCTCCTCATACCTGCACCAACAGGTTTGGAGGGTTTCCTTACAACTGTGGGACGATTTCTGCGCTACAGTCCCGCCCGCATGCATCAAACACTCATTTGATTTATTCCACTGAAAAAGGGAAACAGATACATCCGTACAGTCACTAATATTAATGACAGAATAGCTGGAGAAGGTGTTTACTGAAGGGCCAAAGAAATAAACAAAAAGTAAGTATTTAGCTTTGTACGGCAGTACTTTGGGGTTTCTCCAGTGTTGTTGTAATTGTGGCAGAATGGCATTAAGAGTTACACTTCAGATTCTTATCAGGCAGGTAACGTTGTGCTTCGCCTTGTTTCCTGAGAACTTCACTGAGCTGTTTGTGCACCTCAGCTATTTTCCAATGAAACAATTATTGGTCTCGCTCTTTTCACGGCCGAGTCAATGCAGATATTTTGTCCTAATTAAAAACTCCAGCAAACAAACACGGAATGAATGTCAAAACAGTTCTTTTCTCAACCGGTCCGTACAGACCATAGTTTGGTCGCTGATTAAACGTTAAAAACATTGTGAATCAGGCCCATTTGGTAATACAGGTTCGTGTTTACAGCTGATAAAATCAGCATATGGAAAGTTCTCCTTTATTATCTATGAATTAAATAACTCATGCATATTAAGGTCAGTCGTGGAGATACTAATGTGTAAGTAAGCAGATTTAGGAGTCTTACATAACGCACACATTCATCAGATTTTGATCATTTTACATATATATTCATTTATTTATCAAATTATTTTATCCAAAGCAAATGTACACATTTACAGCACGCAATGCCAAGATGCATGAAATATATGTGATATATATGAAATTAGAATGTTTATTTTATTTATTTTTATTTTATTTAGTCATTTAGCAGACGCTTTTATCCAAAGCGACTTACAAATGAGGACAATAAAAGCAGTCAAAACTAACAAAAGAGCAACAATATATAAGTGCAAATGACAGATATTTTGTCCTAATTAAAAACTCCAGCAAACAAACACGGAATGAATGTCAAAACAGTTCTTTTCTCAACCGGTCCGTACAGACCATAGTTTGGTCGCTGATTAAACGTTAAAAACATTGTGAATCAGGCCCATTTGGTAATACAGGTTCGTGTTTACAGCTGATAAAATCAGCATATGGAAAGTTCTCCTTTATTATCTATGAATTAAATAACTCATGCATATTAAGGTCAGTCGTGGAGATACTAATGTGTAAGTAAGCAGATTTAGGAGTCTTACATAACGCACACATTCATCAGATTTTGATCATTTTACATATATATTCATTTATTTATCAAATTATTTTATCCAAAGCAAATGTACACATTTACAGCACGCAATGCTAAGATGCATGAAATATATACACTATATATGAAATTAGAATGCATTATATTGCATAAAAAAGAAAGACAATATGAAGTAACTAGTACAGTAGGACACTGATTGCTTACATTATATTTGACTGCAGACTGTAACAACTGAACAATCTCAGTCAAGTAATTAAACACACACTCTCACACACTGGTATTCCTATCATTATGGGTTCATTCCATAGGCATAATGGTTTTTCTACTGTATAAACTGTATTTTCTATCCCCTCACACAAAGCCTACAAGCAATTTTAGATTCTCAAAATTGATTTATAAGCTTGTTTATCCAAACAAATGTCCCCACAAGGTCAGAATTTACTGGTATTACTATCCTTGTGGGGACATTTGGTCCTCATAACTTAATTAATACCAGTTACACACATACACACACACACACAGACACACAACTGCTCAGCTGATTAATTGATTGTTTATTCAGATGATTATTGCATGGCATATATGGTTTACACATAGTGGTGACCCAAAGCAGCACCAAAGATGAGTGAAATGATCAAGAACTGCAAGAGACCCAACAAGAAGAAAACTGAGTGTTGCTTGTTGCTCAAGTAAGTCAAAATTGTAAGTCAAAGTTGTTGTTTCTTTATGCATTTATTTTGAATATCATTTATTTTCTTATTTGCATTTAGCAGTGTTGTTCCTTGCCGTCCATGACCCAAATCAGAGCCGCAACCCATTTCTGGGTCGTGACTCAGGAGACCTAGCACTGTTTTAGGTGCCTGGTTTCCTAGGGTTTAACCACAAAACCTTTACAGAAATGTAATGTTCTGTAGTTGAAGCCCTTCATCATTTGCAATATGGTCACACACACACACAGACACAGACACACACAGACACACTCACACACACACACACACTCACACACAGACACACACACACACACACACACACACAAGACACAAATTGCAAAGAATTGTTTACATGTATGGAACTTTTTTTTTCATTCAAAGCAGTTATTGAATATTTCAACCTTTGCCTCCATTGCTTCACTGAATGTTTGTTCTCAGTTCATCTTGTTTGGGATTTCATCGTTTAGCCTGTCACAGACAGCTTTTGTTCATTTGGACCGTCATCAGTAAATGTGCTTTCACATGAGGCATCATTCCTAGACAGCAAGTAAGAAAGAAGTGATCCATAAACACTGATCAAAACAGCTAACAGAACTTGTCGAGACCGTAACCAACAAGGAACTTAAAAAATCACAGACAGTACATACACACAAGATAACAAAAACTAAAAGACAGGTGAGAGCCACAGACTAAATGTGACAGTCATTCTAATATTCATATTTATTTTAGAACTACAGTAACATCTTCTGATTTCTCTCAACATGGGGACAGCAGAGCTGTCAATCAATACATTGAAAAAAAAAAAGTAACTTGCGTTACTTATTTAAAAAAGTAACTCAGATATTCTCTTGTAAATTAAAAAGTAATGCGTTACTTTAATAGTTACTTGAAAAAAGTAATCTGATTACGTAACTTGAGTTACTTGTAATATATTACCCCCAACACTGTATGCAACTTATTTCCACTCGGCTGCTTCACTCTGCATTGACTCGGCTGCGGAGAAAATGACAGAGACAGAGATTATATCTCATCTCCATCCCCGCCGGAAAAAAAGTTAAAATCTGCAGTATGGGAATACTTCGGATATTAAAAATTTGCTCATATTCGCGGACACCACCCCTCCGTGCAGATGAAGGTGTGTCGCATTAATAACAAGTTATAAGTTAAGGCCGTATGATTTCCGTGAAGCAGAGGGAATCCCGGTGCAGTCGTGAACATGGAGTTTACAGTTTAACGAGGATGTCACGTAAAACGCGCAGTCTGATGGATGGATAAATCAAAAGTAGTTATGATATGTGTCTGTGAATATTAAAGCGCAGAGACTGCTATATAAATAATGTTTCTGCATGTCTCTGCTGCATACTGAAGTACGCATGACGCTAATGTTGTGTTCAGCGTCTAAGTTACATAAACATGAACATCAGCAGAGCTGCTCTGAGAGGAAACCTAAATTAACATTTCCTAGTTTTATTTGAGAAAAACCATTGTCAAATACACTCTGAAACTCAAAGGTCCGCTACAACCCGTCAAAATAAAAGATCGATTTAACTTGAAATTATGACAGAAATATATTAGCATCGTACAATGTACTTCAAAGTTATAATAGCAACAATAATATTCTTTATAATGAAGTCATTTATTTAAACATCGTTTTCGAGGAATATCATGTTTGTCCTTGTTTTAACTTTGCCAAAAATAAAAGGAGTTGTACATTTTCATTTGATAACATTTTAAAACATTAATTAAAATGTTAAAGTGTGATATAGATATACATAAGG